TGTAATAGAAAATAATAAAAGTTTGGGTCCAAACACTTTAGCTAATTTGAACTTTTCCCCCTAATTACCTCAGAAGTGTTTGTCACCCATGCTTCTGAACTGCATACAGAGTCCCTTGGGGCGCTTAGAGTGGCACTTCGCTAAATGGATCTGTGTTGGCATTTGTATTTAGTTTCAGAGATTTTTTCAATAGGAAAAAAAAGTCTTCCAGAAAGGCTGACAGGTTGTAAGATTTTTATATGGGGAAGCCTTGCGTTGGTCATTTTGATCCTTTGCAATTAAACTTTTTTATAGACCAGGCAATTAAAGTCTTATTTAATTGGCGTGAATGTCTTCACTAGCGCTCACAGCATGGATGTGTAATGCATGTCTCTTCATTTGTAGAAATCCTGAAGGAGCTGGATGACTATTACGAGAAGTTTAAACGGGAGACGGACGGCACGCAGAAGAGGCGGATGTTACACTGCATTCAAAGAGCCCTAATTCGGAGCCAGGAGCTGGGCGACGAGAAGATCCAGATCGTGAGCCAGATGGTGGAGCTGGTTGAGAACCGGGCCAGACAGGTGGACAGTCACGTGGAACTCTTCGAGGCGCATCAGGAGGTGGGCGACGCCACTGGCAACAGTGGCAAAGCCGGCCAAGACAAGTCGAAGAATGAGACAATCACGCAGGCAGAAAAGCCAAATAACAAGAGATCCCGGCGACAGCGCAACAACGAGAATCGAGAGAATGCGTCTAATAATCATGACCACGACGACATCACCTCAGGAACACCCAAGGAGAAGAAAGCAAAAACCTCAAAGAAAAAGAAACGCTCCAAGGCCAAAGCAGAGAGGGAAGCATCCCCCGCAGATCTGCCCATCGACCCCAATGAGCCGACATACTGTCTGTGCAATCAGGTCTCCTATGGAGAGATGATCGGCTGTGACAACGACGAGTGCCCCATTGAGTGGTTCCACTTCTCATGCGTGGGCCTCAACCATAAACCAAAGGGCAAGTGGTACTGTCCCAAATGTCGAGGGGAAAGCGAGAAAACAATGGACAAAGCACTGGAGAAATCCAAAAAAGAGAGGGCATATAACAGGTAGTTTGTGGACATTCATTGAGGATTGAGGAGAGCAGAACAAACCAGTGTATTTATTATGTTGCCACCTTTGTTGAGGTGTAAGGATTGTAAAATGTATATTTTTAAAGAATGTTAGAAAAGGGACCATTCCTTTTATAGGGGTGGCAGTGATTCCTTGGCCTTTTGTTTTTATTGGTACACATGTGTAACAAAGTGGTCTGTGGATCAGCATTTTAGAAACCACAAATATAGGTTTGAATTAAACATTTAAGTATGTCTCAGACTGATTTTTTGGGGGGATGACTAAAAGCAACCTAACATATTAAATGTGGAAATAAAAGATTTAGCTATTTTCTTCTAATGAAAGTACTATTATTACTTTATGAAAATTTTTTTTAGATTAGCCAAGTTGCCAGAATACAACCTATGATAAATTTGTTTCTTGCTACTATAATGTATATCCATAAAACAATTCAATAACAAAGGTTTAAAGTTCAAAGATTATTTTTTAAAAAGGTAAATGGTTAAATTTTACGTGACAAATATTTTGTATACTGGCCCGTTCCCCAGATGGCCATTTTTAAATGGTACATTTTTACTAAACAGAAGTGGTCTAGTCATGGAACTCCCAATCATGCTTTTGCTATCACAAATCACAGTGTAGTCATCTTTAATTTATATAAGGTGTATAAATGTACATTTCCAAGTGAACTTGCACTTGTATATTATAATTGGAAGTACAGCCAGATGCTATTGTGAAACTAAAGTGTGCTTCCTGCTGTATGTTTGAGAGCTGTACAAATTTTATGTCAAGAAATAAATGAAACTTGGCCAGTTTGTTTCTCTAGCAGTATATTTAATTTTGACATAAGTAACTTAAAAAGTTTTGTCTTGAAAATTTAAATACTAGCAATTTAGACAAAGCCTTAAGCAAATTTTGTATTATTGTTCTCACTTAATAATGAAGTAGAAGTTACCTAATGCCAGCAAATAAATAAATGTGAAGAGAATATGTATTTAGACCAGGGATCAGGAAATTACTGCCTACCCATCAATCCAGCCCACCACCATAATTGTACAGCCTGTGAACTGAGAATGGTCTTTACATTTTTACATGGCTAAAAAAAAAAAATCATTTCAGGACACATGAAAAAATAGAAAATTTAAATGCTTGTTGCCATAAGTAAAGCTTAATTAGAACACAGCCATGCTTGTTTGAGTATGTATTGTGTGTGGCTGCTTTTGCAAAACAGCAGAGTTGAATAGTTGCAACAGAGACCATTTGGCCTGAAAAGCAAAAACTACTTTCTGGCCCTGTGCAGAAATAGTTTGCTGACCTCTGATTTAGACTAGCATCTAGCATTGATGATTTGTGTCATTAACTGCCCACATATTGAAAGGGTCAGCAGAATTTCCATTTCTAACTGATAGATGGTTCACTTTGACTTCTAACGCGGTGAAATCAGTTTTTCTCCATAGTCTGTTTAGTCCCTGTGAAGCTACTACAAGGAAGAATTGAGTAATGTCACTGTAGGATCTAAGTATCTTTGTGGCATGTATTTATTATAAGTGAAACAGTAAGTTTTCTGATTGTTTACTTTTGGTTTTGGCTTGTTTTTTTGAGACAGTCTCACTCTGTCATGAGGGCTAGACTGCAGCAGCAGCATCATAGCTCACTGCAACCTCAAACTCCTGGGCTCAAGCGATCCTCCTGCCTCAGCCTCCTGGGTAGAGATAGGACTACACATGTGTGCCACCATGCCCAGCTAAGTTTTTCTATTTTTAGTAGAGACAGGGTTTCACTTTTGCTCTGGCTGCTCTCGAACTCCTGACCTCAAGAATCCTGAGTGTTTAAATTTGATGAGATTTACCCTGACAAATAATGAACAAAAAGTTTATGAAAATAAGTTAGAGAATTAAAATACTTGATAAAAATTCAATAGCAATAAAAAATAGTTTAAAAATCTTTGCTTATATGAAACTCTGTGCTAATTTTTCACTTCTGTTTTAATTGGAGCTAATAAAATTACAGGAGTGAAGATTCAGTGGAACGCAGTTGGTAATACTGGATTTCTTGATAGTTATTCAGTTTCGCTGTAGACAACTATATAGTGAAGAGGGACAACAGAGGCCAAACTTGATGTGTAGGAACCCCACTTTGTCCCTTAGGCGGTTGGTTTGAATAAATTGCTTAACTCTTGGTCTTCAGTTCTTCACTTATTAAATATCTGTTTCGCATAGGATGGTTCTGAGAAATGAGGTTTAGTGAATAAGAGACTAGCATCTAGTTATTCAAGTGTTGGATATTTTTTTCCCCAGCTTTAACGAAGTTTCTAATAACAAATGGCTAGCCATTTTTTTCTTTTGAAAAATGTATACAATACACAGTCGAATTTTGTTGGATTTGGCAATTTTAAATCACTTGTTAATGCTATGGACAGTAAAAAAATAAGTACTTAGAACACTTAAGATTTAGGATTTAGATCATGATTAGATACAATAGAAAGATTCTGGTAACCCTGGAACTGAATTCTTTTTGAAAAATAGATCAGTGAAAAGCTATCTCATGTAGAACAGTTGCTTACATTTTAGAAGTTCAGTACATACTTGTATAATAACCAAGTTATTACAGTTCAGATAAAAGGTCTAAAATGTTTCCATTATCATATAATACTTTGTATTTTAAACTGAATTAAGGAAACTTCATACCTTCAATCAGGTGTTTATTGAGCAGCTGTGGTGTTCCTGGGGCCAAGGGTAGGTGTGGCAAGGGCTGCTGCAGGAGTCACAGACCCACAGGGACTTACTTTCCAGTGACTTGCTTGTTGGCCAGTGGTTCTTTGGTGTGATTAGAGCTATGCAAGTCTTCTCTACCTGAGACTATCAGTGGTTGGCAATGCTGAAGTAATAAAGCATTAAAGTAAAAGCCATTTCATAGTACTCTATGCTATTTTTGAAAGAGTAGACGTTCATTTGAAATATCACATTATGTAGTGTTCCAGGTAAAAATGTATTAAAAGCTTTTATTAGGCAAAGTGATTAAAAGCTTAGTCTGTGCACTTTTAAAGACACAATGTGCTCTCGTAGGAGGTCTAGCTTTCCTCGTTTGTTCATCTAAAGTGATTTATGACTCTGGGATCGCTGGCGTTTGTGGGGCAGGACTTCACTGCAATCGTTGGCCTCCCTGTTTTAGCTTGTCCATTCCTCTTTAGTCCCCGAGTCCAGCGGGGTTTAAGCAGTCTGGGATTTTTTTAGTCTGGAAACATTGGTGGTCCATGACCGTTCTTTAGGCACCGTGTTCTCTCGTCACCCTCTCTCATCCCGAGCATATGTGGAGGGCTCAGGAAGGCACAGTTCGTGGGAAACAGTGAGACAGCAAATACGGTCGTGCTGCCAAGTCAAAGCAGCCTCCTGAGGTTTTCATGAGGGCTTTGTTTCAGAATATTTAACTATTCAGTTTTTCCCCCCAAACCCAACACACAAGTGTGCTGTACCCCTTCACCCCCAAAAGGATGACAGGAAATAAGTGGAATGAAGAAAAGTATTAGGTCAGTGCTCTTTCTTTATCTCAAATACTTCGTATCACCTGATTTTGTTCATAAAGATGTGGTTGGTATTTTCCCGATTTAAAAGGAAGTTACTACAAACAGAGTGACAGGTTAACTCTTGATTTGTACCATTCAGTGCTTCAGTAAAGGAGAACTTTTTTACTGAAAGAGAAAATGGCTTGTTTAAGCAAGCCAACTTTAAATAAAGGTGTCCAGCATCACTAGCGTGTGCAAATGCAGCCACAGTTTATCATCTGCTATGTGTAGACACTGTGCGAGGTACTTTGTGTACTTGATGTTAAATCTTTGTAGCAGCCCTGCCACAGAGACACTGTCATTCCCGGTGAAGGTGCTGAGACTCAGGTGAGGGACGTGGCAGGCACGAGGCCACACACCCTGCACCTGGCACCAAGGCTGCTGTCTTCCACCTCTACCACCACCCTGCGCCAAGAGACCTGCCCAACGGTTAGGACCCATTGGTGGGTTGGTCATGTGACAAGTCAGGAGCAATGCTGGCCTTCTCCCAGCTCTATGGAGTAGAGAATTATCTTCATTTCATGATGAGAAAACTAGAAAGTGGAAGAAATGCACATGGTCTCACAGGAATAGAGCTGCAATAGGCGCCCAGGACGGTTGGAGCCTGAGGTCTTAATGGCTGGGCTTTTCTGCCTGATTAAAGGGATCTGCAAGAACCACAAATACCTGTGCTACCAAGTGCTACTTATGCATCTGATATTCCTCCAGGTAAACCAGGCACTGCTACAGTTTCTCGTTTTGCCCTATGGTAAATTTTAGGACTGTAGTTTACCCACGGGGTTTTAAGCAATTTACCAGGGGCAGCATGCCATGCTACAAATCAGCATGAGGCTTGAAGTCAGAAGGTTCGAATAGGGACTAGTTAATCACATACGCTGTAACCTCAAGGAAGTCACTCTTCTCAGCCCAAAGTAAGGACATGATAACACCTATCCCATATTCAGAGGATCACCCAGGACAATGTCTGAAGGTGCTTCATAAATGCTAAAGTACCATACAAATATTGGTTTGAGTGACATTTTTGGCCAATTATTGATTAACAGATGTATTCTTAAAAAGTGGACTAGAGATTCTGTACAGCTGAGGAGAATCGAGTCCAGCCTTGGCATAAACTATTCACGCTGCATGAGGGACACGTCTTCAGCTGCTTTTCCATAAACGAGACCATTTCTCTGTAGAAAACAAAAGAGAGAAATCGAATTTTTATTTTTTAGCAGCAATCAAAGCCTATTAAACTTCCTGTTGACTCACCTCTTCGTTGAATTTGAGAGCAGGCACAAAATCTAGTTTAGTCTCTTCAAGTGGAGGTGAGAAAACTGAGGCCAGAAATGGTGCAGCCACTCACTGGAGGGCACTGTGCGAGCTGGCGGAGGGGCCCTGTCCCGCTGCCCCAGGCCAGCGCGCCTCACTGTGCCAGGCTGCTCATGTGGGCCTGGCCTCATCCACGCAGGCCTTGGGCACTGGGCTCTTTTCATGGTGAGCTGTAGGCCTTTAATCAATACCTGTTGAGTGAATAATGAATCTAAGAATTAGCATTTAAAAATAAGACATTTTCTAACTTCCAAACCAGTTATAAAAACACACCTAAAAGGCAATTTCAAATTGATTTGTGTAAAGGGAATATTTTTGGATAAATCTATAGGCGATCAGAAATGCAATATTGCTAAATGGTTAATATTTG